GAAGCAGCAGCACCGCGACCACCTCCAGGGCGAGCGCGCCCACCAGCGCCGCCCCCACGCACACGGGCAGCACCCTCCGCTCCCAACCGCTGCCGGCCATAGCGGCGCATGCGCGACGCCGGAGGAAGTCTTCGCCAATCCAAAGAGCGAGCGGGCTCTGGGGACCGCCTTTAGGAGTGTGATTGGCGAGCCGCCTAGCCAATCCATCCGCCACGTGAGGCGGCCCTCGCGCTGTGTTTACCTCACAGCGATTCCTGTCAGTGGGGCGCTTGATTGACTTACGCTGCAATGTGAATATAGTCGCCTGTTTAATAAATATTTAGCAAGTCTGCTCAGAAGCCCCACTGAGTCAAAACACTAGCAACTTAAGCTGCTGCACACCATACATCTAAGGGCCTCTACCCTAAGGTTACCAGATTTTTTTCAATAAATCCGGGGACACTTTAAAAAATAATTATTTTTTTAAAAAAATTAAGAAAAAAGCTATTTTTAAAAAAATTAAGAAAAAAAGTCAACACCACAGATGAAGGTTTTTGAAACTGGCGAGTAGGTCCTCCAGTGGGCGGACGGCACCCAGTGGGGACTCCGAGATACAACCGATTCTCCTGCTTTCGCTGCGGGGCTGCCCCAAAGCTCCCAGCCGCCGCCGGCTGAAGTGATCCAGCGCTTCCTGCCTCTGCCAGATCAAACTCAGAGCTTTTGCACGAACACACCCACCCCCGCACTGCTCCTTTCTCTTTCTCTCGCCCCCATCACTCCTCCTCTCCTCCCCAAAGCCGTGCAGCCGCAAGCAGCTCAAATGGAGTGGAAAATGGCCAGTGGTGGCAGATCGAGCCTTTAGATTATCTCCACATTTGGTATTTAGCTGTCTCTAATCCGCTTTTATTTGCCAGAAGCCCCCTCCCCTCCCACCAGTTTGGGCAGGTGGTGGCGGGGGCGGCGAGGAGACAGAAGAAGCCGGGTGGTGAAGAATATATATGTGTTCCTCCCCCACTATATATTTTGGCCGCTTCTATACACGTTTATATGATAAACTGAGCCCAGGGGTGGGTAGAAAAGAGGGGGGGGGGTGGAGATTTGGAGGAAGAGGTGGAGGCGGCTTCAGTTCAGAGCTAGTGGAGAGTCCGTGTCAGGACATCGCAATCCGCAGTCACACACAGAGAGAGGTGCATGGACGAAAGGGAGCTGGCAATACAATTCACTGGCATTTTTCTTTTAAGAGCGATTTCACTCGCCTCCCCCCCCTCTCCTTTTCCTCTCTCTCTTCCTTTCTCTTCCCATTGCTTTCAGCGCGACCAGCTTTGCTCTTGATCTCCGTTCACGGGGCAGCAGCAGCAGCGTCAAGGAGAGAGGAAAAGCAAGGAGGGGGAAAAGCGAAGCTTGAAGAAGGTTTGGAACTGGATCCTGCTAAAGGCCAGGATGCCATCCAGGGAGATGTAAATGAGGCGGACGAGGCCGACGGAGAGAAAGGGGGCTTTTCTATCTCATGTCCTCTAAGAAATTGATGTATGGGGAAAGGAAGTATTTTAGGAGTAGCTTAAGTTACATGGTTGCTTTCTTTATGCATTAACCTGCCTTTCATGGCCCATTTCTGTCCTTAAAGACACCCAGTTTGGTTTTAAGCTACATCTTCAGCCCTTTGAGGACACTGGTACCGACTATTGTTGTTGTTGTTTAGTCGTGTCCGACTCTTTGTGACCCCATGGACCAGAGCACGCCAGGCACTCCTGTCTTCCACTGCCTCCCGCAGTTTGGTCAAGCTCATGGTGGTAGCTTTGAGAAAACAGTCCAACCATCTCATTCTCTGTCGCCCCCTTCTCCTTGTGCCCTCAATCTTTCTCAACATCAGGGTCTTTTCCAGGGAGTCTGCTCTTCTCATGAGGTGGCCAAAGTGTTGGAGCCTCAGCTTCAGGATCTGTCCTTCCAGTGACTATAGGTAAAGGGACCCCTGACCATTAGGTCCAGTCGTGGCCGACTCTGGGGTTGCGGCACTCATCTCGCTTTACTTACTTCCAGTAAGATGGCGACGGAGATAGCAGCATAGTCAGGTTCGCCTGCCTTCAATTAAGATTTTAAGTAGGTTTTTTTAGCCTTTTTTAGCCTTCCTGGACTCTAATTTAATTTAATTTTCTAGGAATTTTCCAAGAAAATGCCCCCTTCTCGCTGAAACTCTGCCAGAATATGCCCCTTTGCTCCCTGAAACTCTCCCACAATATGCCTCCTTGCTCTCTGAAATTCTCCCACAATGTGCCCCCTTCCCCCCTGAAACGTTCCCAGAATATGCCCCCTTCCCCCCTGAAACTTTCCCAGAATATGCCCCTCCCCCCCCGAAACGTTCTAGGAGAGTTTCAGGGGGCAAGGGGGCATATTCTGGGAAAGTTTCAGGGGACAAGGGGGCATATTCTGGGAAAGTTTCAGGGGGCAAGAGGGCATATTCTGGGAAAGTTTCAGGGGGCAAGAGGGCATATTCTGGGAAAGTTTCAGGGGGCAAGAGGGCATATTCTGGGAAAGTTTCAGGGGGCAAGAGGGCATATTCTGGCCAAGTTTCCGGGGGCAAGGGGGCATATTCTGGGAGAGTTTCAGGGGGCAAGGGGGCATATTCTGGGAGAGTTTCAGGGGGCAAGGGGGCATATTCTGGGAAAGTTTCAGAGGACAAGGGGGGCATATTCTGGGGAAGTTTCTGGGGGCAACGGGGCATGTTCTAGCCAAGCTTCAGGTAGCAACGGGGCATGTTCTGGCCAACTTTCAGGAAGCATAGTCTGGCCAAATTTCAGGGGGAATGGGGCATATTCTGGGAGAGTTTCAGTGGGGAAGGGGGCATATTCTGGGAAAGTTTCAGTGGGGAAGAGGGCATATTCTGGGAAAGTTTCAGGGGTAAGAAGGCATATTCCCGGGCGGGCTGAATGGAGAGGAAGCAGAGGAGTGGAGCAATTTCTTAGGGGGACTCAGGGGGGATGGGGATATCTTCAGGGGAGACCAGCAGGGAGGAGGACATAGTCTGGTTCGAGGATGAGGGGGGCTTATCCCAGGGCAGAGCTAAGGAGGAAGACAGCTGCTTTTGGGGTGGCTATGAGCGGAGCAAGGAGAAAGAGGGTGCTCATAGGATCTTGCAATGCACTTCACTCCTTGGCGCGATTTCCTGTGTATAGCAGAAGGAACAAAGAAAAAAACCCACACCTTTTGAGTATTTCTGCAGCTAAAATCTCTGGAGCTAGAAGCATGTGTAGGCACTTCCTATCAGTTGATGTCAAACCAGCGTACCACACCGTGATGCAGTATGAAAGGACACTTTCTATTGTGGACCAGTAGAAGGAGATCATCAGATTTTGATTGACATTGTTCTTTTGCAATACTCTGAGGAGATGGAGTCTCTGTTGGGCTTTCTTAACCACCTGGGCTGTATTGATTTTCCAAGTAAGGTCTTCACTGAGATAAATTCCTAGGAATTTAAAGGAAGAGACTCTCTTCACACAGCCCTCCCTGAGGTACAGCGGGGCTAGTTCTCTCTTCCTCCAAAAGTCTCAACACCATCTCCATTGTCTTGCTGATATTAATGAAAATCTCTAAGTGGTTTACAGCATATTAAATAAATAAAACAATAAAGCAATAACCCATTGATGTTCCTCCGGCCTTATGAGGAGCCTCTTTCTAGGGCTGGCGAATCTGGGCCCTGCCCCCTAGGCCAGGTGGAAAGGGCCTTGCAGGGAGCGGCCTTCACGCCTCACAGCCGGGCGAAGGTTGTGGTTTAAGGCCCACCCTATTCTTCCGACTGTAAATTGTTCTAACTTATTTCAAGGTTGCATTTTTATATTGTTGTAACCTCCCCTCGAACCGTGTGGTGAAGGAATGAAACTTAACAAAAAACAGCCCAAACCAATAGGGACTCAAGCATCTTGCTTTAATAATAGCACTTCTTATTTCCTTTTTTTTGGCAATAAAACAAGTCTGTTTCTACAATACAAAACAAAAAGATTAAACAGTAGTACCCAGTTGCATCATAGGAGTGTAAAATAATCCCTGATAACGGAATCTTCTGGCACAATTACAGAAGCAAACATCACCTCAGAAGTCTCCCATTTGGGCACCTCAAGGGAGATGTGAAACAGCCTCGGAGGGGAGTGAGGGGGCTTCTGCAGCACCTCAGGCGGCTTTCTGGGAGCAAGTGTGAAGTGGGTGGGGGAGACGGGTAAAGGGCATTCAGCTGCTGCAGCCTGGAGGCCCCAATTCACCCCACACCGGCCTCTGGGTGAGGAGAATTCTGCCCCTCAGGCCTTGAGGTCAGGCATTGGAATGCTCATAGAAGCTTCCAGAGACAGGAAGCAGCCTGCCCAACTGTTGGCCATATAGGATTGCCAATCATTTTGTGCCTGACCCTGTTTGATTTCCATGAGTCGGTTCCTTATCCAGATCGTACCTATGGGACCGCCTCTCCTGGTATGCCCCACGGAGGACCTTAAGGTCCATAAATAGCAAAACCCTAGTGGTCCCGGGCCCTAAGGAAATTAGATTAGCCTCAACCAGATCCAGGGCCTTTTTAACACTGGCTCCGGCCTGGTGGAACGCTCTGTCTCATGAGACCAGGGCCCTGTGGGATCTGATTTCTTTCTGCAGGGCATGTAAGACAGAGTTGTTCCACCTGGCCTTTGGCTCAGAACCAGTTTGATTCCCTTCCCCTCTTTCTTTTTCCTTTCTCCTCCTGTGTAGAGGCTGCATCCTAATGTTTTAATGTTGTATTTTAATCTTTTTTTAAAAATTGTATTTTAATCAGCTTGTTTTTATTATTGGTTGTTAGCCGCCCTGAGCCCGGTCTTGGCTGGGGAGAGCGGGGTATAAATAAAATTTATCATCATCATCATCCTGGGGATGGCGGACCCGTAGCCCTCCAGGCGTTGCAGGGTTATCAGTTTCCCATTCGAGAAAGGCACCCTCTAGGCAGGACAACAGTCAGAGAGGAGCAAGGCTGGCACAGGCAACTTCTCGAGATGTCAGTGATGTGAAGCTGTGGGTGCCAAAAGGCAGGCACCAGTGAGGGAAAGGGGGCCCCTTGGGCGAGTGGAAAATATGGGGCTGGAGAAAAGGGATGAAGTCCTTGCAGCCAGATACAGATTGGAATATAGGAAGCCACCCTATGGTGGAGCCAGACCATTGAACCATGTAGTTCTCTTTCCTCTCCCTACCTGGAGATGCTGAGGATTGAACTGTAGAACATGCCACTGAAAGGCAGTCTTCCCCTTAAAAATAAGATTTCAGTCCAATTGCTTCTGCATAAAAGGCTGATATAAGCAGGGAGATCAGAAGCGGCTTTATACCAAACCAGACATTTGGGTTAGCTAGCTCTGTATTGTCTACACTGACTGGCAGCTGCTCTCCAGGATTCCTGACTGTGTTCTCTCCTCTATCTACCTGGAGATGCCAGGGATTGAAAGCTCAGGCTTCCCCCATGTAGACACAGGCCTTTGCCCATCTGAAGAAGGAGCCCTGCAAAGTTCCCTGTCAGGTCTCAGTCCATACTTGCCAAACTTTGTATTTGCCAAATAAAAAAAAACAGAGGCCAAAACAGTTACATAAGTGGGAATATTTCTTTGGCACTGATGCAAATATGTTTCAAAAACAGACGGCATCTCACTGGCAAATAGTGAAATACCAGTGGGCAAATCTGAGGCCAAATGCACACTGCACATTTAAAGCACTCTTTATAAAACTCCCCCCACCCCATTATCCTGGGAACAGCAGTTTGTCGAGAGTGCGGAAAGTACTACAGTTCCCAGAATTCCCTGGGAAGAGGGACTGATTTTAAAACTACTCTGGGAATGGTAGCTCTGTGAGGGGGAGAGGGGGTCTCATAACAGCACAGCTCCCAGGATTCTTTGGGGGAAGCCATGGCTGTTCAATGTGTTTCAAGAGTGCTTTAAACGTATAGTGCAAATACGGCCTGAGTGTAAGAAATATGGCAAATGAGTCGAAGGAAGTGTGGCCAACAGAGGGCTGAGATTTCCCAGCAAGCAGTGCTATGTTGCAGAGTGGGCATCCACCAGATGGCTATAGAAGCAAACTGGGAGGATTGAGCAGGCATCCAGCAATAGGGACAAAGAAGGCAAGACATCCCTTTTTAAAAATTAAGGCATCAGGGCTCCCCCCCACTGCCGTGTGCCTTAGGATTTTTGTCCACTATTTCAAAACAATGCTTCTGTGGGGCCAGCTCTTTGGCTGCCCCCCTTATCCTGCACATACATCTTAAGACAAAAAAACCAAAAACTTAAGAGGAGGTCAACATCAGGACAAAGCCCTAAAAACTAACCAAAGCCAACAGCCACTGAAAAACTGGCCATCAAGAGGCAAGAGTTTTCCCAGAATGCACTGCCCACTCAGGGCTTTTCCACAGAGCCACCGTTGCTGCTCATGTTGGTGCTGTGATAAGCCCCCATTTTAAAGACAAGGAGCCTGAGGTCAAGTCAGGAAGGCCTCTTTTGTGCCAAGCTGTGCGGCAAGAGTCTCGCTATGGATCGTTATTCAAAGCAAGAAGCAGCTTTGGAGGCAGCGCAGGATCTGAACAGCTTCCGAGGTCACAGGTGATGACCAGGCACAGCGGCAGGGAGCCAAGAGAGTCCACCTTGGCACGTGAGGCAAATGTGAAGTGCTGTGTGTGTGTGTGTGTTTAAGCACGTGTCTGTTCCTTTATTTGAGGTGGAAGCAGTGAAAAAGCAAGAAGCGACCACATTGTGATGCAAGGCACTTGCAGGTAAAAAGAACGAAAGCACAAAAGATGTCCGAGGAGAAGGGCCAGACAGCCGTGCAGGGATGGTGCTGTTTCTTCTTCAGGCAAACATGGTTAGTTGTATCCACTGCAGTGCAGGAGAGAGAGATAAAAAGAGGAATAGAGGAGAAATTCAGTTCAGGTCACCGTCAAAAGCAAATCTACCTAATTCACACTTTCTGAAACAATGCATAAACTGAAACATAGACCCATCCTTCAAAATCTGCTCCTCTCCAAATTTTGCAAGTAATGCATACAAAAATGCATACATAGGCTGCAATACAATGCGCAATCACATTGGGGAACACTGCATGTAAGTTAATGTAAGTTAAGGATAAATTATCGCAAAAATGCTGGTGGGTTTTCAGGAGGATTAAAAACATAGTAATTCAGAAACTCCAAATGTCATAATCGTTCCTCATAGGAAAACACGTTCCACCCCCTCAATAATTTTTGTTGCCATTCACCGCACATTTTCCAGATTTACAATATCCTTTTTGAAGTTTCAGGACCAGAACGGCACACGGTATCCCGAGTGTGATCTCACCAGACATTTGTATCACAGCATTATGACACTGGCAGTTTATTTTCAACGATCAGAGAGGCATTACCTTAACCAAGTCAAAGGTGACGATTCCATCCTTGTCTGAGTCCAGTGCTTGGAAAAACCCTGAAGAGAGAGATTGTGGGGTGAGTGGCATAGTTGAGGGTGGGAATTAAATCAAGATATTTCACTGCAGGACTTCTCTGGGTGGGAAACAAACCCAGATCAACCCTGTTGACTTCAGGGACAGGCTCCAAAGAACTGCGCCAGGAGGATGGCATGCCCAAAGATGCACCAGGCTCCTGGCCTGCTTCCTCCTTACCCATTTCAAGCTGCTTTGGAAAGAATTTAAGAGCAGCATGGGCAACATATTGCAACATTGCATGAGAATTTAAAATGTTGCTGGTGGTTTGCAAAGCCTTTAGGTATGCCTAAAGAAACCCTCTAGCCCTGGAGTTAGAGCACTGGGGCATGCAAAGCCAACACCTTTCTAAACTCGCAAGGCCAACACTGCAGTCCCCTGCTACTCCTTTGCCTCCTTTGACTTCTAGGAGAACCCCAAAGAGGGAAGAAGTGGTGCAGACAATACAGCCTCCATCAGTCCTCAATAGCTATGGCGTCCTGGGGGTTGGGCAAGGGGGCTTTGCCCATGCCCTCCATAGGCAGACTAAAACAACCTGGTCACACATCAAAATACAAAACGACCACGCTACGAAAAGGGCACTCACGGAACATGGTTTCAAGTCGCACTAAGCAGCAGACAAAATTGTCAAAATCGATGGCCAGATCAGGTTCAGCGTAGCGGGTGATGATTAGCTCGTACAGTTTCTTGTTCAGCTTGAAGCCTGGGCGAGAAAAAGAAAGAGCAAACACATTTCATTCAGAAGCTGGGCGGCTTTCTTAAAAACACAACAGTGTCTCCCGCTTTTGAGGCAAGCTGAGGGACTGTGAGCAATTCAGACAGTCGTGTGCTTTGAAATCCAGCAGTTTAGATTAGACCTTGGTGGGGAACCTGTGGCCCTCCAGACTTTGCAGGATTCCAACTCCCATCACCACTAAACTATGGCCATACCAGCTGGGGCTGATGGGAGTTGAAGAACACCTGTAATACAAAACTTATATGGCAGCTGTATCTCCACTATCCCACCTGGCTGGGTGCTGAGCAGGAAAGACAAGAGTCACAAGGGTCTTTCTCACAGGACCTGAATTGCCCATTTGTCTACATCATTCATGCACAGCTTCCAGTTACAATTAATGAGGAAAGGGCAAAGGAACTGGATATGTTAAAGAAGACAAGAAGGGTCCTGTTAGATCAGGCCAAAGGCTCATCTTACTCCAACATTCTGTTCCCACAGTGGCCAACCAGCCAGGAACCCCGGCTGTTAGCTGGGCTTCTTGATTCTGATTGATGACTTGGTTTTAATTCCACCTTGAGGACTAGTTCAGTTGAGAGGCTGCCTAGAAACTGAATGCAATTAAAAAGGGGAGGATCACCTGCAGCCTCCAGAGCCATCCGCATCTCGTAGGCACTCATGCTCCCCGACTTGTCCAAATCGAACTTCCTAAAGACTGCCTTAAAAGATAACAAAGAGAAAAGGAGATAAGATGCCCCCCCAAAAGGTGTCAACAGTGAACCCAGCAGCTGAGCCCCAAGAATCTAAGGTGTCCAGAGGAAAAAATAAATTATGAGTTCCAAGGCTCCAGTAGGAACCCATCAATTCATAGTCTAACCACTAGAGGGAGATCCAGAAAGGATCACTAAACTGCAAACTCTCCAGACTTAAGTCCCATCTAGAGAGAAAGATTTCAGAACCGGATTCAAAATTCCTTAACATGCTCAAATTATGATACTGGACATCAACATTCACATTTCAGAATCATATGGATGTCAAATTACAAAGTTTGATTGTTTGGGCTCTCTCATTTTCAGCCTACTCCATAGATATATTCCAATTTTTTGAACAGTCAATATCTGCAAAATATTGTTTGCATATCAGAAAACAATTAAGCAGAATTCCCCAGCTTTTCCCTGCAAATAACAAAAATAATTTTAATTCCATTTAGCTATCCTGGTCTGCAGGGGGTGGGGAATCATGTAACCAAGAGAATATTTTTGAAATATTTGGACTGGAGAGTCTTGTGCACCAAATTTTAAACCATGGGGAATCTGTGGACCTCTAGCTGTTGTTGGATTATAGCTCCCATCATTCCTGACTACTGTCTATGCAGTCTGAGACTGATGGGAGCTGGACTCCACAATATCTGGGTGGGCAGAGGTCCCCACCATTTACCCACCCCACTGTAGCTACGTTTGTGTGGGGGTTTTTTTACCCATAAATGGCTTTGATGACACTGTGAGCTTACCAAATAGCTCCTGATTTTGGTCCAAAGGATGTTGAACTCCACCAATCCAAGTTTCCCATTTCCATCTCTCTGATCAAGGAAGCGGATGTTAAGGAGACACTGCTGTCAAAATGCCACTGTCGCCTCCTTCCACCATCACCTCCCCTTCCCCTCCAATACCATACTCCCAAAAAATTAGTTTGTTGAACGCTTGCAGGCATATAGCTTAGGCAGAGGTTAAACTACGTCCAGCCTTCACATAGCATTCATTTTGATTCATTTGGGGGAAGGTTATAAGACAATCAACATGTGTCCCGATTCACTTGCGAGGCACTGTGTCTGTCTTCCCACAAATCGTTCATTCATGCCACGCTTTTCAATCCGGAGCTCCAGTGGCTGCCAATACACTACTGGGCCACATTCAAGGTTTTTGCATTAATTTACAAGGCCTTGAGTAACTTGGGTCCAGGATAGTTTAAGGGTTTCCTGACCTGTTATATCCTTGTCTGATCACTGAGATCTTTGGGGGAGTCTCTGCTGCTGGTCCCCCACACGAGGACTCAGATGAATGGCTTGCAACTGTTAGAAGCCATGCATGGAGTGTTGTGGGTTCAAGCCTGCATAAGTCCTTCCTGATTGCTGAATTTCCAGTAGGTTCATTTTTATGTGCACCACTTAGAAACACTAATGATTATGTGCCCACTTGACCTCTTCGACTGATGGAATTGCGACTTTTGCAGGTGCCCCATAATACCCACTCTGCATTTGAAAGAACTTGATCATTTAGTGTGGCAGTGCTGACACTTTGGAACTCCCTGCCAATTGATAACAGGCAGGTCCCCTCACTGTGCCTTGAACAGACATTTGTATTTAGACAAGCCTCACCATATGTTTAGAAAGTTTTGTGTTTTTAATTCATTTTAGTCTATTTTATTGCGGTTTTAATTTTCTGTTTGTTTTAAATTATGGTTGTAACTTTTGTTAGTGATAATTTTATTGTTTGATCTTTTTTGTAAATCACTTTGAAGTTTTTTTCTTCTACAAACAAGCTGTATATAAATTTTGCACAGTAAGTATTATATAAACATCTTTAAATAATTTTAAAAGTCTGTTTTGTTTTGTTTTTATAAAAGTGGATTTATTGCATTAGGGCAAAAGAGCATTATAATCTACTTTAATTAAGCGCAAGGGACGCAGGTGGCGCTGTGGGTAAAAGCCTCAGCGCCTAGGGCTTGCCGATCGGAAGGTCGGCGGTTCGAATCCCTGCGGCGGGGTACGCTCCCGTCGTTCGGTCCCAGCGCCTGCCAACCTAGCAGTTCGAAAGCACCCCCGGGTGCAAGTAGATAAATAGGGACCGCTTACAAGTGGGAAGGTAAACGGCGTTTCCGTGTGCGGCTCTGGCTCGCCAGAGCAGCGATGTCACGCTGGCCACGTGACCCGGAAAGTGTCTCCGGACAGCGCTGGCCCCCGGCCTCTTGAGTGAGATGGGCGCACAACCCTAGAGTCTGGCAAGACTGGCCCGTACGGGCAGGGGTACCTTTACCTTTACCTAATTAAGCGCAAACCTAAATTGATGGCACATGCTCCTCTCCTGCAAAATACTGAGAACCTGGAGCCGCCTTAAAATACACAGACCCCGAAACCAAAAAGGAAGGATACATCCATGAGGTTCACCATACTCCGACAGGACTCCAAACTGAACCCTTTCGTCCGAAGGTCTTTATCTGCAGTGAAAAGCAAAGAAGGGACAATTAGAGCTTTTCCTTTTACACCCCACGAACGCACGCAGCAAAAAGATGATGGAAATCGTTCAAAGGGACACTCAACAGTAGCCACAAACCCTGGAACTATATGACAGGTTTGTTACAAGTCCATGTGCAGGAAGATGGTGTGTTGCTGGTGTTCAAACATTTTAAATGGTGAAATCTGGCAACGCTTTTGTTGCCAAAGGGCCCTGGCAACACAAAGCTTTGCCAAATTAGTTTTATTCTCTGTTGAATACAACACTCAGCATTTGTTGTACACACATGCACACATTCCCTGACTTTCTGCACGACAAATATTTTGCTATTTTAATTTCTTTTTTTAAAAAAAAGATGAAGAGGGAATGAGTTAGTATCGGTGCTTACGTTTCCCTATGATTCTGTTGAGGATAGTCTGCAGTTCACGAACGCTGATTTCCATATCCTGCAAGGAAGGGCGGAAAAGAAGAGGAAAAAAAGATTCAATGTTATTTAAAGCCCACCTCTGAGCCACTCTTAAAAGAGGCGATTCCTGGAGAGGCCTGAAGTCAAGCCCTTTGCTCAGAACCTGCTCAGAACTGGAACCTGTTTCCCCATCACAGCTCCAGGCACTTTTGCATATGCAAGCTAAGTGCTCTGCTGCTCAGCTAGGACAAAGGTGGGGAACTTAATGTTCCTTAACCCCCCCTCCACCTACCACTGGCCAACTTTCACAGGTGGGTGAGGTGAGCACCAAGCATCAGTTGATCAGCAGGGCCTGCCAATCCTCCATTTGGCAAGAAGTCACCTTTCACCTGCTCCACACCTGCACAGCTTGGTCAAAATAGTAAGGAAACACTTTACCAGGCTGGAAAACTGCACTGCAAAATTCTGAGAAGGGCTGATTTCAAAGGCTGCCTGAATTTCGGTCCACGTATTGTTTTGGATGGTGCATGTTGGGAAAGTTTCCCTTTAAATGGGGAATGGATCTAATTTAACCCTCCCCCCTCGCATTTGACACACTTACCGCCCCCGCCAGCTGCCTAAAGAGTTGCTTGAAGCTATCATCAATCTCGCTTTCTGAAAGCACTTTCTGGGGAAGGGAGAGACAGAGGAACGGTCAGACAGGCAGGTTAGGGTTAGAAAGTCTAAATATGCAAAGTTCTTTGGGATCGGAAGTATGGAAAAGTGACAGGCTGCTCTTTTTATTAAAAAAAAAAACCACTCACAAAAAGCTTCACCGTCACTTCAAGAATTATCTTGGCTACCCCTCTGAAATCTGTAGCTGAAGGCCATATGTGATGAGTCTATTCTAAGGGCTGCATGCATTGGCCAGTATCTGTGGGGAGATTTCCACCACCACCTCGTAAAAAATGGAAAACTGCTGGACAAATTACTGTGCCCCAGCACTAGCTGAGAACATAAGATGAGCCTTGCTGGCTCTGGCCAAAAGGGGACAATCTGGTTCAGCACCCACTTGTTACAGTGGCCAAACAGATGTCCATGGGAAGCTCTGAATGCAACCACAACTCTCCCCACTCGTGACTTCCACCAATGAGCGCATACTGAATTCAGAGAGAAAGATGTGCCCATGACAGAAGAGGGGATCCTTCTTGAATGTAAAAAATCTGGTGGCAGTTGTTACATAATTCCTCTACACCAGTGGTTCCCCAACTTTTTGTTTTCTCCAAGGACTGCTTGAAAATTGCTGAGGATCTCGGAGGACCACTTAGCTATTCTTCTACCAGCTAGGTGCTGCATGGTTTTAACTGAATTTTTGCAGACATGCTGCGGATCACTTGAACGAAGCTGGTAGACTATCAGAGGTCCAAAGACCAGCTTGGGAAGTCCTGCTCTGGAATACAAGCAGGAATTTCCTCTAAGTCACCCTTTGAAAGGGGTCCATATTTGTCGCTGGATGATTCCTACCTCATCTGGGAGGTTCGCCTGGATTTCATCGTCCATTTCCCTGCAGAAAGGCAATAAAAATAAAAATGAGAACTCAGGGGAAACATAAAGAGGCTCAAGGCAATTATCCAGACACTAGTAAACATAGCAGAACAAGCATTATGAAACCGGGGTGGTGAGAAGCACTCTGAAGTCAAGGGAGAGGCGGGGGAGAGTTAAAGTCAAGGGTTTACATCTGCTTTTGTTTCCAAAGTCTGGCTCGTGTGTTGCGACAGCAGCAGAATTCCAACAAAACTGGAAGTTGCCAATGTTAACTTATTTGCCCATAATGGAAATCAACCCAGTTGAAAACGACTTGATGTTTGCTGCTGCTGTTGCTTTCAGTCTACAAATGATAACGAACTAATGTTCCCCGCCGCAAACCACCACCATCTGCACTGTGATTCCTTTGCACTGAAATGAATGGGATGGAATAAAGTAATGACAACGCAAGTTATGTAAGCTACATAATCTCGCCACAATGGACAGCAAAGAACGACGTTATAATTTTTGGCACAAGATGAACTGCTGCAGAACAGCAATATCGCCGTGTGTGTCAGACACAGGGCGGAATGGAAAGCAATGCATTCTACATCCCTACCTCTGACTTGGAGGACTCCGTCTCAGGAGCCCCAGTCCAGAGTCTCCCCTGCTCTATGAGAGTAAAAAAGCTGCTGAGAGGGGGTGAGCCCCTTTAAGAGAAGTGGTGCTTTTCGGTAAAAGGCAAAGCTTACAGCTCCTACCTAAGGCTCAGCCTAAGGCTGGCTGTTGCTGAAGCAGCCTCAATGCTCCACTCTCTGAGCCCTGGGCAAGGTCTGGGCTAGGATGAGGTCAGCACCTGTATCCCAACAGGCAGTGCCAATCCCAATTGGAAAGAGGCAAAAGCTCAGAAGGTCCTAAGTCCAGCTTCCCACACCTGTCTGGTTAAGAAGGGTTTAAAGGTAAAGGGACCCCTGACCATTAGGTCCAGTCGTGGCCGACTCTGGGGTTGCGGCATTCATCTCGCTTTATTGGCCAAGGGAGCCGGCGTAAGCTTCCGGGTCATGTGGCCAGCATGACCAGCCGCTTCTGGCAAACCAGAGCAGCACACAGAAACGCCTTCTAATCGATAAGTCCTAGGCTCTGTGGTTTAACCCACAGCGCCACCCACGTCCCTAAGAAGGGATTAGGTGGTAGGCAAATGGGGGGGGGGGGCGGGAGGTGGACCTGAGACCATGGAAAGCCAGAGAAGACCATGCTTGTTCGAAGCTTCCACGGAGACCAGAATACATCCAGTTTTCATTGAGCATTTGCTCTGATCTGTTTGCAGGGGTGTTCTATGACAACAAGCATTCAATCCTGATATGGTGCTTCCAGACCTTCCCATTAATTTTTCTTTCATCCCATTCAGTTCAGGCAACTCCCTACTTATGCGGGGGTTACATTCTGAAGCGCTGCGTGTTTAAGTGAAATTGCATAAATTGGGAACACCATTGGAAAAGCCTGCAAACACCCTCCAAACCTCTGGAAACCATTAAAAAAAACCATTTAAAAAAACAAAAAACCCCACCAACCCCACCACAGTTGCTCCTTCCAAACCTCCTTGCACAAACTCCAACTCTCCACAGGCCTCAAAGCTTGGTGCTAAGGCTCCTGGGATTGCCAGATACTGTTTTCACATGTTTTTATGCTCTTTTAGGCATGCTCTTGCCCCTTTTTGTGCTACTTCAGCGTTTGTGGCAATGCGCGCAATCACACGCAGGGCTGGATTTAGGCTTTGATGAGGCCCTAAGCTACTGAAGGTAATGGAGCCCTTTTTACGTCCAGCTGTCCTTTGTCAACAACAAATTGTCGCTGTTTTTTATCTTGAATATCTGCTATATGGTAATTTATGGACCTAATGGGTATCTAAAGCCATTTGCACATAACAAAATATGTATTTTATCAAAGTAATTGTTGAACTGAAATACAATTAATTTGGGGGGGGGCCAAGAGAGTGGGGCCCTAAGCTATAGCTTGTTTAGCTTATACGTAAATCCGGCACTGATCACACATGGCTCAAATGCACGTAAATGTGGAGTTGCCTGTCACTTTCCCAACTACAATAAATCCGCTTAAAAAGAAGAACTGGATTTGTTGTGTCAGGGAAACCAGAGCGTTCTCACCATCTTTTATGCCTGACAACAAACCCTAACTATTGGATTCTTTTGCCCCATCTTTTTGTGCCTGCGAAACAGCTGTGTTATGCTTATGATAATATTTTATTCTCTTGTTAATTATGCTGTTTTAAATGTGCAATTTATATTTGACTTCACTTAACAATGTGGTGTTTTTTAAAAATGTTTAAGTTTTTTTGTTAACTTTGTTTGTTTTAAATATGTATTCTGTAGCTGACCTCCTTTGTAATGTTTTATTTTGAAGTCTTTAAGATAATATTTTAGTTTTCTGTTAATTATGTAGCTTTGACTGTATACTCTACATTTGACTTTCTTCAGATTGTTTTATTGATGTTTCAATATTCTGTAAACCGCTTTGAGATTTTTCTTATAAATATAAAGCGGTATAGAAATGAAATAAATTATTATTATTATTATTATTATTATTATTATTACCACTCAAATCTAAATGTCGATTTCAGTGGGTCTGAGTAGTTAGACAGTGCTGCAAAAGGACACTATACAACACTCCAAAACCCATTTCAAACAGTTGAACGATTGCCCACCCTCTGCCAAACGAATGACAAAGATCACCAGCAACACATACACTGTCCCGGCTTTGTTCTCTGCGAAGAACCGGAGCACGAAGTCCCCTTCCTTGTTGGGCTCAAAGGTGGAAGGCACCACGATATACTCCCCTGGCGGCAGCTTGAAGCGGGTGCTGACCTCGCGCAGGTTGATGAACTGCTCGGATCGCGCCCGCGAGGAGTTCGAGAGGAAGAAGTCGCGCTTCAGGTGTACGGAGGTCTGCCCCCTGAACTGCCAGAGAGGAGAAGGCATGAGTTGAGCAAGCGCTTCACCTGTTGAACCCTCCTCTTGGAATAGGGAACGGCTGTGGCCAGGGCTGGATTTAGGTTTGATGAGGCCCTAAGCTACTGAAGGTAATGGGGCCCTTTATATGTCCAGCTGTCCTTTGTCCAATTGTCGCTGTTAGAAATGAGCAAACCAGTGATATTTCAGGGAGCAGGCTAGCAGGTGGGGCCCATTTCTTACATCACAGGAGCCTATACAACACAAAACACTGTTGCTGTGTTATTTTATGTGTTTTATATCTTCTATTTTGGAAATGTACATCCAGTTTTTCCCCCTTTAATTTTTTTGGGGCCCCCCAAGAGATTGGGGCCCTAAACTATAGCTTGTTTAGCTTATACATAAATCTGGCACTGGATAGCTCAGTGGAATAGCTCCTGCCTTGCAGGCATGAAGGTCCCAGGTTCAAACCATGGCAGCTCTGGTAGACAGCAGCTTTCTACATCCCTGTTTAAATTGGCCCTTTCTTTAAATCAAGAGGACTGGAATCTTACTTTCTTTTTAGAGGAAGGACTGCAGTTCAGCAGCCGTAGCACCTGCTTCTCATACCAAAGGTCCCAGCAGCTCCTGATAAGCTTGTCTGAAAACCCGGAGAGCAGCTGCCAATCAGTGTAGACAATGCTTAGCTAGAGGGATCAGCGATCTAACATACTAGAAGTCCTCCATACCCACTTAAATTATGCCTTTATTCAGAAGTAATGAGGACTGGAATCTTTCTTCCAAGCACTTGCCTTGACTGCAAAGGGTGCCTGCTTCAATCCCTGCCATTTCCAGACAGGGTGGAAAAGACTCCTGGCCTGAAACCCTGGACAGCCGCTGCCGGTCAGTGTAGGAAACATTGAGCTAGATGGACTCAGTTGGCCTGACCTGGGATAAAGCAATTTGCTACACCCCTACATATTTTGTTCCTTATGTTGAGGACTAGAATCTTAGGTGTCCCCCCCCCTTTTAGCAGAAGGTCTGCAGCAAAGCAGTGGAGTGCAAGCTTTGCATGCAGAAGGCCTGAGGTTCAATCCCTGGCAACTACAGGCAGCAGTGGGAAAGACTGGAACTCTGGAAAGCCACTGGCAGACAATACAGACCCCCGTGGCCTGGCTTCTGGTCCTATGTTCTTACAGGACAGGAGATGCACTTACAGGGGCTTCCCATACTTACAGGAGTTGCTCTTTGGCATACATACCTCAGGAGGCACCTGCAGGAGACAAAAGGAAGAGGGGCAGTGAATTCCAAAAGAAGGCAGAGGAAGGGCTCCACACCCCGAGGGGCAGCTCTCCCAAGCCCTCGGGCAGTACCTCGTAGACGGCAAAGCCGATGGTCTCCATGTCCTTGCCAAATCGCCTCTCCCGGCGCCGGTGCTTCTGCATCAGAGACAGGAGGAAACTGCAGCCCGGCTCCCTCCTGTCCTCGTCGTCATCGTGGTCCACCTCTTCCAAGCGGATTTTGAACTGGGGGTTAATCCAGAAGGTTGCTGAAGGAGAAAGAAAGAAAGAGGAGACTGTGGGGTGCAAGGGTTTTGGGGAGATGGCAGTCGAATTCAACAAATGCATATTATCGCGAGTTAGTCAGTTTAGGGGCAAACGGACACAGAGCTGTATTGCTAGATAGGCAGACTCAGAGCATAGCAATGTAAATGGTAGAGAGAGTTCTGTGTGATGTCATTTCCCGTTTCCAGTAGCAGGAAGAAACGAGAAATATAAGCCCGTCTCCTTCCTGTCACTCTCTCTTTCTTTCTGCAGCCTGCAATGAATGCACATATGGCTGTTCCTGCTCCAGCTCAGGCTCACACCTGAAGCTGGTTGGGCTGTAAAATGCAAGTATTTTACCTGCATAGGGTTTTTTAATAACAAATCTTATTAATTTTTCAGTTTATACATCTCAAAATAAACGTTTTACATAATACCATGTAACAATTGACTTCCCTCCTTCCCTTTTTGTGGTTCATTTTACTTATCTATCATTCATGCATATTTTATTATAGTCAATCTAATCGTTTCTCCATTTTACATCCTTTAAATATTTACCATACTGTTGAATTTATCTAAATGCTGCCAGCGTTTTCAATTTCAATATTCAGCAAAAAGATTCCACTCCTCTTTGAATAAAGATTCTTCTTGCTCTCTTATTCTATAAGTTAAACCTGCTGCTTCTGCAAATTCTATCATCTTAAGTTGCCAATCTTCCTTACTAGGGATCTTGCTCACTTTCCATCTATGAGCCAGCAAAATTTGAGCCGCCGTGGTTATTTACATAAATATTTTTTTCTGACAACTGGGAACTTCAGACTAAAGTATTCCTAACTAAAAGGCCCGAGGTTTTTTTGGGAATGTTGTTTTAAACATTTTTTTTTTTACTCACTGCAGATCATTTTCCAATAGCCTTTAACCTTTTTACATGTCTACCACATCTGAAAAAATGTTCCTTCCATTTCTCTGCATTTGCAGCACAGATCTGATCCAACTTTGTACATCTTGACCAATCTAAAAGGTAAAGGTAAAGGTACCCCTGCCCGTACGGGCCAGTCTTGACAGACTCTAGGGTTGTGCGCCCATCTCACTTAAGTGGCCGGGGGCCAGCGCTGTCCGGAGACACTTCCGGGTCACGTGGCCAGTGTGACAAGCTGCATCTGGCGAGCCAGCACAGCACACGGAAACGCCGTTTACCTTCCCGCCAGTAAGCGGTCCCTATTTATCTACTTGCACCCGGGGGTGCTTTCGAACTGCTAGGTTGGCAGGCGCTGGGACCGAACGACGGGAGCGCACCCCGCCGCGGGGATTCGAACCGCCAACCTTTCGATCGGCAAGCCCTAGGCGCTGAGGTTTTACCCACAGTACCACCCACGTCCCTCTTGACCAATCTACTTGGGGTTAAATACTATCTATGCATCATTTTTTATATACTGTATTTTTCTGTGTATAACACGCCCCCGTGTATAAGATGACCCCTATTTTTTGGGACTCCAAATTAAGGAAATGGGGGGAAATTGCCCAGAATTATTGAGCTTTCTTTGGGGGGGATGGCCGACAATCGCTCACCTGTGTCTTATACACAGAAAAGTAAGGTAATTCTCTTTCCAAGTATAACGATAAATTTCTAATCATTCTTCCAGAGTCTCTCCCAGAGGTTTAGGTCTATGTTATGCCCTATATCCATTGCCCAGCGTGTCATTTGAAGTTTTGACTAACTCGTCTTTCATTTCCCATTCTTATAATAAGTTATACATTTTTGACAATAATTTATCCTTGTTCCACAATAATTCTCTTTCAAACTGTGAGCTTCGATCCGGAAACCCATTTTTAAAATCTAATTTAAACATATCATATATTTGATGATACTGTAACCAATCCTTACTCCTTCCATTGCATAGTTCTACTGCTGCCTTTGCCGTGAACCAGTCCAAGACTATTGAGTAAGTAAACACTATTTTTAAGCTTACTTTACAAGTTGTTGCCTGATTCTCTGTTATGCGGGCTAACATAGGGGAAGCCAGCTTATTTCATAAGCTGGATGTGCTTAAAAGAGAAGGCTTTGCAGACTAATTTCCAAAGCTTCTGCAAAGGATGGGATTTTAAAACTCTTTTTAACCCCCCTCCCCCAGGAGACTGGAGGGGCCAATTGTAATTAGGATATCCTCTCCTACCTACTAAAACCCATCCCACACGACTCACGGCACGTGTTATGTGAGTTACCTGGGTAGTTCCTGCAGCCGCCAGCTGTGCTCCCCCGCCGCCAGGTCCCGTCGTAGAGCGTCGTGTTCCACTTCCGGAACTTGCGCGACTTCAGCGCGTCTGGCGTGAGGTTGCAAATCTCAAGGCGGGAGAATTCCCGGAGGAAGTCCTGGAAGGACATCCTAGGAGAAGGAGACAGGTCGCGAATTCAGATCACGCGCACGCTCGTTGGTGACGTGTGTGCGTCTTTAGAAATGCGATTCCTGAGACAAATGAAAAGGGCGCCTACCAGAATTCTCCATCTTCCATTTTAATTCTCAGCTGCTGCCCTATAGATGGATCCACGGCGTTCCATTCCCCAGAGCTGTAAAGAAAAAGAGAAGAAAATGTGCTGCCTGTTACAGAGAGAGATTCCAAAAGAAGTAGAAAATGCAGATTCTTCTCTTTTCCCCCTTTTATAATTTTTATTAAATTTTGTTTTATATTTTACAATATTCATTTAAACAACCTTAAAATATCAATGACTTCCCTTCTTCCCTTTCCATGGTTTATTTTGCATAACACAAATCCCTGCATATTTTATATAAACTAAACCATTCAATATTCCATTATTACATCCATCAAAACTTATTTACACTGTTGAATTTATCTTAATGCTGCCCATGTTTTCAAATATACACAATTTCCCCCCATAAATTTAATAAACATTTCCCAATCTTCTTTAAACGTATGTTCTTCTCGTTCTCTTATTCTATATTTTAGGTCCACAAGCTGTGCAAATTCCATCAATTTAAATTGCCATTCTTCTTTAGTTGGGACTTCGCTCGTTTTCCATTTGGGGGCTAACAAACAGGCTGCAGTTGTTGTATACAGTGGTACCTCGCAAGACGAATGCCTCGCAAGACGGAAAACTCGCAAGAAGAAAGAGTTTTCCGTTTTTCGAGGTGCTTCGCCAGACGAATTTCCCTATGGGCTTGCTTCGCAAGAAGAAAGCCCATAGGGAAATCTCCGGGGACCTCTTTTAAAATGCTGGCGGTCGGGAGCAAAGACTTTCGCCCACCGCCGGCCTTTAGAAGAGATCCTGGACCTCTTCTGAAGGCTGGCGGGGGGCAAAAGTCTTTGCTCCTGACCGCCTGCCTTCCCGGGATAGCGGAGAAGCGCAGCGCGTTTCTCCGCTATCCCGGCGGCTTTTGAAGGCAGGCGGGGGGGAGCAAAGACTTTTGCCCACCGCCGGCCTTCAGAAGAAGTCCTGGACCTCTTCTGAAGGTCGGCGGGGGGCAAAAGTCTTTGCTCCCCCCCACCTGCCTTCCCGGGACAGCGGAGACTTCTCCGCTGTCCCGGGGCGATCTTAAAATGCTAGCGGGCGGCAGCGAAGCCTTCGCTGCCGACCCCCAACATTTTAAAAGCCCCCAGGACAGTGGAGACTTCTCCGCTGTCCCGGGCGATCTTAAAATCCTGGCGGGCGGCAGCGAAGCGTTCGCTGCCGCCCGCCAGCATTTTAAAATCGCCCCGGGACAGCGGAGGCTTCGCTGCCGCCCGCCAGCATTTTAAAATCGCCCCGGGACAGCGGAGAAGTCTCTGCTGTCCCAGGGGCTTTTAAAATGCTGGCGGTCGGCAGCAAAGCCCTCCTGTCCCCGGAGCTTGCGGGGTGGGGGGTGGGGAGAAGGGCTTTTCTTCCCACCGCCAGCCTTCAGAACAGCCTTCTGAAGGCTGGCGGTGGGAAGAAAAGCCCTTGTCCCCCCCCCCCAGCCTTCAGAAGAGGTCGGGGGACAGACTGTCCCCGGACCTGGTCTGAAGGCGGTTTCCATAGGAACGTATTGATTGATTTTCAATGCATTCCTATGGGAAACCGTGCTTCGCAAGACAAAAAACTCGCAAGAAAAAACTCGCGGAACGAATTAATTTCGTCTTGCGAGGTACCACTGTACATAAATAACCTTTTTTTGACACCTGGGAATTTCCATCTGAATTATACCCAACAGAAAAGGAATCTTGTTTTTTGGGGAAAGTAATTTTAAACATTCTTTTTCCAATTCATTATGAATTATTTCCCAATACTCTTTTACCCTTTTACAGGTCCACCACATATGATAGAACATACCCTCAGTCTCATTGCATCTCTGAAGAAAATGCAGTGTCTTCTCAACCAGCCCATAAGAGCGCTGCTGGGTCTGTTGGAAGGCCTGCCTAATCAAGTGGCAAGCCAGAGGGCTACTGGAAGCCCACAAAGAAGACTTGAAAGCCACAGCTCACTTTCACTCTCCAGAACTGATTTCCAGAGGAATACTTCCTCTGATGGCCCTCACAATTATAGCCAGTGACAGCCTTATCCTCCAAAAAATTGCCTAATCCTGTGTCAATGGCTTCTTTATTTCTGTCCTGAATCTCCCATGGCTCAGTTTCAATGGAAGGTCTAAAAATGTCTTGCTATCTGGACAGAAAAAATAATAATAATGAAAGTTTCAGGCAGCAGAAGACTGTCTGGATCTCTTATTGAAATCAATGAAAGTTTAAACAATATGTGCCTTAATGGGTTGCCTGTAAAATGGGCATATTTCAGGTTTTCTGAAATCTGAAACAGCCAGTTATTTGCAAGGGTAACAGAACGTCTAAAATGTTCACCTTGCCTTGTGGATAAAAAGCACAAGTGTTACAGGCTGTAGAAGAGAAGCTGGATCTCCTACTGAATTCAGTGGGAGGAAACCCAGTGAATGAAATTGAAATGAATGGGGGGCAATCAAACAAATGGGAGTTTTTGAAACAAGAACTTTTCTTTTTCTTGCATATCTCTGACATGGGATGGGTAAGCTGCCTTCGTCTACTCTATAGCGTGTTGACTGATAAAACTTGCAAAGCTACATGGAGCCATTTATTCTGCAGGCACCACTTCAAAAACACTAGATTGTATTTGATCTTCTGTGATGAACCAACTATTGTGAAGCAACTGCTTGTGCAAATATTAAGAGCCGGAGTGTCTCTCAAAGCCCAGGGGTGAGGAGTCTTGGCCCTCCAGATGTTGCTCTGATCAGCCCTAGCAGGAATGGCCAACAGCCAAGGATGACGGGAGTTCAGCAACATCTGGAGGGCAAATTTTCTTCATACCTGCTGTAGCCCTAGTAACTCTGATAAATTTGTCACCAAAAAATTCACTCTGGTTTCCAAACACAACACGCACGCTGGTTCCCTTTGCCACTTTGCTTGGCAAACTCGCTTCCTGCACACACCAACTTTGGGGCACAGGGGCTCTTCTTTTTCAAGCGCCTAAACCTTGCGCCTCCTTCATTTCTGTCTGTGATGGTTAGAATGCTGGACTGGAGAGTCCTGGATTCAAATCCTGGTCCAGCTACAAAGCTTACTAGATGACCCTGGGCTGGTTCCTGTCTCTCAATCTAACCTTACTTTTCAGAGTTGTCCTGATGCGATGCTGGCAAGATCGTGCGTGCCACTCTGAGCTCTTTGCAGTGGGATTAAAACGGTATATAGAGAAGACAGGCCTTCTGTCCCCATAGCTCTATGGCCCAGGAGGAGGGGAAGTGGAACCCAGATATTCTCATCCCCGTGAAAACAAAGGAAGCTCGTCGACAGAAGGAGGGAACTTGCTATGGCCGCCCTGGTGTCTTTCTCCCCCTTTCTGAAGCATGCATAGAAAAACTCCTCCAGGGTTTCCTTCTTACTTGTCACTCCAAGCTCCAGTCCACTCCACCTCCCCCCACGGGTTTCGCATCCGTATCAGGTTAACTCTCTGCCCTCGGTAGTTGATCTGTGGGAGCAGAGAGATAATGAGAGATGGCCGTTAAGAGATTGTCACAGAGGAAGGAAAGAACAAGGCTGCACTTGACTTGACCACATTATTGACCCAGCCCTGTTTTCAAACAGTCCGAATAGCTTCCCAGTGGCAATGAGTTCCAGATGGCTTCTGTGGGAAAATGACAATGCCCCTGTGACTCTGGACATATAGAAACAATAGAGCATGCGCTTCTCCAGTGCCTATATTATAGAGACATTCATATTAGCCTCATCTCCCTACTACTCCATAAGTACCCAGGGCACACAGAACAATTCTATACCTCCCTGCTGCTATCAAGATACCAACCCTGCTACAACATACGACATTGCCAGGTTCTGAATAGCAGCGTTCAAAATTCGTCAGATGATGACCTGTGCCACAAACTAGATTTAAGGAACACCCATATCAGAGCGCTCTGTAAATGGATAACCATAGCCTTTTATATACTAACCTTTTATGCTCTTCCACATTCGTTTAATGCTCCAGTCCTAACCCTTCTTTTAGCCTCTTTTAGATTCTTGTATCTTTTACATATACCTTCTGTTTTAATAATTGTAGCTTTCCAAAACATTTTACAGATTTTAAATGATTGTTCCCCACCCTACTTATGCTGGTCTATGACTGTAATAAAGATCTGATTGATTGATTGATTGACTTTTTGTTGTTGTCGGAAGGATTCTTTTCTGGCAACCTCTCTGTTATTAAACTTTCCTACATAGATGATCCTCTGTTCTTTTATCTGTTTCCCCTCTGCAGGAATAGAGTTCCTCTTTATGTCAGAAATGGGGAATTTCAGGCCTAGGGCCTCTCTCTCTGGCCTTGTTTCACACCCAGGTGGGTCCAGGCCCTTGGACTCTGAGAATGCCTCTTGCTTCCCTGCAAGAGGGTTGAAAGGGGTGTGTTAGTGCCTGTGTAGAAACCAGCCTACCTGTACAAAGGTAAAATCTGCCATTGTTGCCCCACCCACTTTTGCCTCAGGCATGTGGCCCTCAGAAAGTTGCCAAGAAGGCAATGCGGCCCTCAGAATGAAGAAGGGTCCCTGCCCTCGCTTTAGGCCTTCTCTCTTGACTTCTTAAAATAGTGAGGCTGAGGGCAGGGGCCACCTTATAATTGTTTAAGGTGTCCTGAGAGTTGGGGTTTTTTTGGGGGGGGGGTTTGCTAAAAGGGGTCTGGACATAAATGCTGTAAATAAAAAGGAAAACAAATGAGAACTGAATAGTAGAAACGCAACAATCACCTGCTCAGCTCCAGTCACGGAATAGGCATGGCCTTTCACCAGCTTCTTAAAAGTGACAGCCTCCATGTCAAAAGCACTTGTGATCTGAAAAAACGGGGGTCAAAGAAGAGTAAAATCTAAGTGACAACCTTCAAAGGGCCTCCAAGGATGTAAGACTTTGCTGGAAGGGGATGGAGCAGCCAACACACAGCACTGTATTGGATATTATGGAAGATTATATAAATATATATATCCTTTGCAAGTTGCACAGGTAAGATAAGATATATATAGAGAAAAATAGCATCCATGCAGAACAAAACCCAGAACCAACTCCCCCCCCCCCCCAAATTTGTATACATCACAAAAAATTGTGATTGTAGTTCACCAGCCACTTAGCAGTATACCTGTTCCTCTGGCAAAATGTTTCATGCCACCGGTAAACTGCTGTGCAAAAAAAATGCACAAGCAGGCTGCTAGTAATTGTGCAATCTGTTGCATGGCGAGTTTCCGCTAGCACGGCTGTTGCACTGGAGTCTTCTGTTGCACAACAGGAAAGCTCACCTGCCCACTAGTGCAACAGCCCTTGCACTAGTGGACTAGAGTGGTGGATGCAGCCCCAAGGTACTCACATCAATGGAGCAACCCATGAGAGACCCCCTCTCCAGGGCCTTTAAGATGATCTGGAAGAGGTCGCTGGGCGGCTTTCGTAGGTCGTACCACTCAGTGACGCCTCCCGTGAAGTCTTCGAACCCTTCTGAGGTGCTCCCTCCCGAAAGAGCCTCGTAGCAGCCGTTCACCCTACGGTGGAAGCAGCAGGGCATCAAGAAGGCGCTTCGTAGTGAATCAGAACATTGCTGCATCAATCTAGCTCAGTATTGTCTGCACTGACTGGCAGCAGCTCTCCAGGGTCCCAGGCAGTGAGTCTCTCCCAACCCTACCTGGAGTTGCTGGGAATCATAGGATCACAGAGCTGGAAAGGACCCCCAGGACTCATCTAGTCCACCCCACTCAGACTAAACCCAGGACCATCTGCAAGCAAAGTACCCGATCTACCACTGAGCCACCCAAATCTCTGAACCTAAGCTGGGTAAGGCCAACTTATACGTGGACCTGTTTTTCCCCCCTCAAATGCTTTTTAATGATTTTCACAAACATAAATAAAACTTAAAACTTTTACATTCAACATTTTGTGTCATCTTATTTACCCTGCGCAATTTTGCGCCCGGACTTCCCTCCTACCCTGCTTCGGTTTTCCGAATTTACATCTTCTCTTACAGATTATTATTTGCCCTCTATTCACATCACAGGATTTATATTAACCCTGCTACAGTTTTTAAACTTCTGCAATTAATTCGTATGTACGCAACAAATTTACTCCACTCCTCTTCAAAGTTTGTCACTTTTTGGTCTCGAATTTTATAGGTAATTTTTGCCAATTCTGCATACTCAAATAATTTTGTCTGCCACTCCAATAAAATTGGGATCTCCTGGGATTTCCACTTTTGGCCCACGAGAATCCTAGCGGCAGTCGTGGCATACAGAAATAGTTTACGATCTTCTTTTCTCACGTCATCTCCAATTATCCCTAATAAAAAAGCCTCTGGTTTCTTTGGGAATGTGTATCTGAAAAGTGTTTTTCAACTCATTATATATCAAATCCCAAACTTTTTCCATGTTTTCGCATGTCCACCACATGTGGTAAAATTTGCTGTCCTTTAGTTTGTACTTGGACCTGTTTTAATTGTTATACATGTGGAACTGTTCTAAACTGTTCTTGCACTTTTCTTCTTTTACAGTTCAAATGATTTAGTTCTTTTATAGTTGTCTGTTTCACTGTTGTAACCTGCCCTGGGACTTTCTGGTAAAGGGTTAGTAAGAAATCTAAAATAAGGAGGGGGGTATCCTGTTTGTTCCCATTTCACAACTGGGAAAACTGAGGCTGACTCACCCCCAGGTCACAGAGTTTGCCCTTGGGACAAACACAAGTCTTTTGTACCAAATCTTTAGCCTCCCTCCCCCCGTCGACCCCAAACCAAGAGATTTAGATGCTTACTTGGCATAAGCTTTCTCGAGCAGGGCACTCCAGAATTCGTTGCCTTCTGCGGAGTGGACAAACACAAGCTTGCCATCTTTGGTTGGGAGGAGGTCATCCACCACCACGTCGACCCACTCGCCAAATTGCCAGATCTGAACCAAGCGCAAAACAGGCAAGACAAAGGTGAAAACTTTTCAACCTGGAGATGCCAGGAATTGAACCTGGTCCCTGCTGCATGTGCCCTTGATGACTCAGTGGTGGTTAAGAATAGAGGCAGGGAGGAGAGAAGATGGGTGCTGTTTGCGTTTTAGATGAGAACATACTTAATCTGTACTTCTCATCAAACCATTATGTGAGCCCAAACACAATGAGGTTTACATTTCTCTGAATTTTACAACGGTAGTTCTGCAACTGAACAACTCATTTACAAAAATACATATGACAGGGGAAAGTGTTTAGAAAAACAGGGGAAAGTGTTTAGTGAAAACAGAATACCAAAAAAAAGTATTCTATAAGGGGGGAATTGCTTGCAAAACAGTCAAAATGGCATACAAAAATGTGTATTTCAGAATAAATTTACATTGAAATGCTGATGAATTTTCACAATACTTTAAAAAAAAAATAATCCAGGTGACAGATGGGAGAACTGAATTTAAAACTGGAAAAACAAGAAACTGAAACTGACAGATCTGGGTTTTTCTTTCTTAGCGGTTGTGCTCTGCACATGCTCAGAGAAAGCCATCATTAGTCCACATGTTCCAAGGTCAAGGTCCAGCATTCTGCACCAGCTCTGGTCCTGACACCTTGCTCAAATTACATTATTCCTTGCAGGCCCACCTAGTCCAGCTTTCTTTCTGCGGCCTAACAAACCCAGTTCCACTAAAGGGTAGGAGGGGAGAGAGAGTCTGCAAGTGCGATTCATTAGGAAAGCTGCAGCTGTCTCCCTGCAGGCACAGATCCGCAGGCTGAGCAAACACCAGGCTGTGCTCTGAATGGGAGGCACTGGGCAGCTTTCTTCCCCGCTATGCACCACGCCCTTGTCACCCCCACAAACAAAGAACCTTGAAATACCAAGGCGAATCATCACCTGCGAGGTCGGATTCCACATCAGGGTGGAGTCCTCAGGTGTGGAAGACTTAAAATAAGCAGCAAAGCCACCTCGGCTGGCAACAGACCAAGCCAGGCGTTGGATGGGGTGGAGCTGGGCAGAATGCCTTGAATGGCGTTTGTGCGTTTAAGGAGCTGGCTTTAGGCTAAGTGAGGGAGCCTGGAGATAACTGTAAAAACAGATTTTTTATTCTCACTCTCCTAGAATAAAAAGTCCATTTTTAAACTGATCGCCAGGCTCCCTCAGTTAGCAGAAAGCCAGAGATTATTATTATTTGTAAAGGGAATTTCTGTATGAGTTAATACCTTATTATCCATTTGGAGCTATACTCCTTCTAGGCTATGGTTTACATTTTTGATTCATTGGGGCTTCCCTCCCACCTTTTTGTTATGCTCGCATTTTTATTTTTATTTTTGTTAAATCAATTTTACAAACACACACTGTTTTGCAGTATGGAAAGAGACAGGAACGTGCACAGAAAAGGGTGGGATGAACGAGTGATTAACTGGAAAGGTGTAAACACCCCACAAGGAAAATCAGAGTGATCGGCGCACAAATGCTTATTGTCGTATAAACAACTTGCAAAATAAATAAATCAGAATGAATGCTCATAAAGACTGGATATGATCTAACCTCGGTATAAGCTTTCTGCTAGCAAATCAGGGAAGAATGCTAAAATAAACACCAGAGAGATCTGGAGGACACAAAGAATTTCTCTGTTGCTTCGCAAGCAGGGCTAGTCTACGTTCCTACAAAATACATCCAATTTAAAAACACAGAGAGAGAGACGCAGTGCTTTGAGTAACAAGGTTCGCAGCAAGGCAGGTGCTCACCTGGAAGTGGAAGATGCCAGCGTACCCATTCTGGAAGCTCTGCCCATGGGGGACAACGCGGTGGAGAAGAGGGTCATTCAGGGTGAGGGAGGCAATGGCCGCCAGGAGCCAGCAGTCACCTGGATGGAGAGGCAAAGGGAAAGCCAGCCAGTTAAAACAAAAACAACTGTTATTTATATATAGTGGTACCTCTGCTTGTGTACTTAATTTGTTCTGGAGGTCCGTTCTTAACCTGAAACTGTTCTTAACCTGAAGCACCACTTTAGCTAATGGGGCCTCCATGCTGCTGCTGCGCCGCCATGTGATTTCTGTTCTCATCCTGAAGCAAAGTTCTTAACCTGAGGTACTATTTCTGGGTTAGTGGAGTATGTAACCTGAAGCGTATGTAACCTGAGGTACCAGTGTGTGTGTGTGTGTGTGTGTAAAATTATTTGGCGAGGCTGTTACATCCAACGTTAGGGATACTCAGAGTAGGCCATGACATGACTAAGGCCCCGTCTGCACTATGCATCATGCCACTCTGAGTAGATGTGGCTTCCCCCAAAGCATCCTGGGAAGTGTAGTTTCATAAAGGATGCTGAAAGTTGCGAGGAGACTTTGTTTTGGAGGCATCCTGAGAGCCCCCTCATTTCAGGGAGAATCTGCTGCCCCAGAAGCTCCAAGCGGAAAGAGCTTTTTCTTTTGTATTCTCCTTTCACGACCAACATGTACCTTTCCCCCCCTCGCACCCTCCCCAAAACTGCCAGTTCCTTTCACCCCTCCTCTCCAGACCTGTAACAGTTCTCCTGTCTTATTCCCTTCCTTTCTGTTCCCATTCTATTTATTTGAACAAATATTCACCTTTCATTATTTCACCTCCTAATTCCCCTCAGCACCTCCTCTGGCCCTTTCCCCTCAGGGGAGGGAGACCTCCCTTCCCTCACCCTCCCCGGAACTTTCCGGTCTGCCAGCCATCTTCACTCAGCGGACCAGGAGCTTCTGGTGCTATGGCACAGCTAGGGCCACCTGAAACTAGTTTGAGAAACACTGCCTTAGCCCAAGTGGACTACCAGCTGCCTGCCCGGTTCCTGATCTCTGGGTGGGTGGGGTGCTTTCTCCAGTGTTTGAAATTAGCCAGGTGCCAGGTGCATTTTGCACCTAGCCTCCGACCACTTGCGACCAAGTGAGGATGCCTGGGCGCCAGGATGGCACCTGATGTCTTGGGATCATTGGATCTGGACCGCTTTCACGCACAAATACTTCATCCTGTAGAATTCTATCAATTATATTTAATCTGCACAATCAGAATGAATTTCAGGAACCAAGTTGCTTTGTCTGTGCAGCCAGAGCAGGAGCAGTCGTCATTAAGAAAAAGAGGTTGGAACTGGCCAATATACTGTACTGTACAATATACTGTACTGTTCTAGGGTTTTTTTTACTAAAAAATAATATAAAAAGGGGGGTAGTCTTATACACGGGGGCAATCGCCCTCCATTTTCTTAATTTTGAGTCCCCCAAAATAGGGGTGTGTGTGTTATACACGGTGGTATGTTATACATGGAAAAATACGGTATATATGTGGACTGTCCCTGGATCAAAGGACATTTCTTCTTTAAGTTCTCAAAGCTCTTAACCTAGGCTCAAGGTTGTCATCTGAACTAGACGTTTAACTAAGAATCCATCACAGTCAGCCCGTCATTTGAAAAATAAGACTTTAGAGCTGTTTTGCCCCAAAATGGCAACAAAACATTCCGCTTTGGTGACTGCAACCTTGGTTTAAAGAGCCATTTGGTGCCTAGCTTATATACCTGAGTTTTTGACAAACACTGTTTCCCCCACCCCACAAACTTAGTTGTTACTCTGAAATGCAAACTTGTTTTGGAGTAAGCGCAGACACCAGTCTGCTGTCTTTGAGCCCTGAAGCTGGCGCTCTGCCCCGGGGAGGGGTGCAGGCTGCGCAGAGGAGACCACGCCTGCCTGCAGGGCTCTGATCAGATAAATGGTGTGTGGTGCGAGAGAGGGAGGAGAAGAAACACTGAGGAGGGTGTGTTTCCTGCAGCTGTCGGGAAGTTTCCCTCGATGACCGTGACCTGACAGTTTCAAAACAGCCAAGCCAAAAAGAAAACAGCCAGGCAGGAATGGTACGAAGGCCAGAGAGAGTGAGGGAGTCACGTCATATGCTCAGGGGGCTCTGCGGCTGCTGTTGCACAATCAGGACACACCCGGAAAGGCTCCAGCGTCCTTTCAAAATTGTACTTCTCGTCATAACAGAAAACAAGCCATGCCGATAAAACACAGAAAAAGAACAAAGGGCCTGCAGGAAAACAACGACCAGAAATTGCATCAAAACTTTCCAAGTTATCAGTAGGTTTTGTCTACCTGAAGAAAACACAAAAGCTGTCCGTCCGTCCCCCCATTTCCAACATATAAATTTGAGCAACTTTTTTTATTTGAGATGGGTGGTATCTTGGGCATAGCCAAGATTTTTTTGGGGGGGGCGTACACCTGTCACCATCCTGTCTGACTCCGTCTAGCAGATTTGGAATGAAATGTCTCAACAAACATCATTTTAAATTACTTTCTTTTGATCCCATGTGGTCATAAAAATCTGTCATAATCTTTCCACAAATTTCTACTTTTAGTTAAGCGTTTTTATTTGTTTGTTTGTTTGTTTTATTTACTTGATTATAGGTGGGGGCAGCTGCCCCACCTGCTCCCCCGGCTACACCCATGGGTGGTGTCCAACTAACTCCCACCCCAGAATACACCCACTGAAATCAACAGACATGGCTAAGGGCTTCCCATGGACACCTGGCTGCAAAAACTGGAAGGGCACCCTTTCGCCTGATCCAGCAGCCAAGCTCTTCCTAGGATCTCCTCTACAACAAAGAGGGGAGGGAGGTGGGAAAGACCCAAGGGTGCGTGAGAGAGGAGACCTGGCTGCAGTGACCCCCAACCTCTCCCTGCTTTTGGGGGTACTTAGCACCCATCTCTGGCAGACAACCTCAGATCCTCGGGTGAACCCTCCTTACCCAGAGCTCCTTGGCAGACATCTGTGCGGGTCGCCCCGTCCACAATGAAGAGAGGGTTGCGGCACAGTTCCTGAAATACACAAGAGGGAGGCGGGCTGGTTTGTTGTTGTTGCTGCTGTTGCTGTTGCTCTTAAATGCCTAAGAGGAAGAGCCTGCTGTATCAGGCCAAAGGTAAAGGGGCCCCTGACCATTAGGTCCAGTCGTGCCCGACTCTGGGGTTGCGGCGCTCATCTCGCTTTATTGGCCAAGGGAGCCGATGTACAGCTTCCGGGTCATGTGGCCAGCATGACTAAGCTGCTTCTGGCGAACCAGAGCAGCGCACGGAAACGCCATTTACCTTCCCGCCAGAGTGGTACCTAATTATCTACTTGCACTTTGACGTGCTTTTGAACTGCTAGGTTGGCAGGAGCAGGGACCGAGCAATGGGAGCTCACCCCATCGCGGGGATTCGAACCGCCAACCTTCTGATCGGCAAGTCCTAGGCTCTGTGGTTTAACCCACAGCGCCACCCGTGTCCCATCAGGCCAAAAGGGGGCCCCAAATTTAGTCCAGCATCTTGTTCTTGCAGTGGCCACCCAGATGCCTCTGGGAAACCCGCAAGCAGGACCTGAGCTCAAAGAGCACCTTGTTCTCCTGCAGTTTCCAGCAACTGGTATTCAGAAGCATTGCATTATGATTTGCCTCTACTTGAGAAAGGGGAAAAGGAATTGCAGGGTGAGGGGCCGGCTGGCCGGCTGCCTAATACCAAAGTTGCACCAGCCCTTTATCTTGTTTACCTTTTAGACAACTATCAGGCAGGGAGGGCTTTTGATCATCAGGGCCGTGTGTACTCCGCACATTAAGTAAAAAGTGAAACTCTTTTCCCCGAGGAAAGCTCAGCTCTGTAGCCTGCCTTAAAAATGCAGGTTAAACCTATATGCATATTCTCTTAATTAATTCCACTGTTTTGCTTTTACCACTTTGCTTAATTCATTCTGGCATGAAGCCTTGACTACTGGGAGTCCTATTTGGCTTCGGGGAGATCAGCAGACATTACTATGCGAACACAGGTACTGAGTCAGCCTAATCAAGCTCAGTGTTGTCTGCACTGACCGGCAGTAGCTCTCCAGATTTTCAGGTGGGCGTCTTTCCTTGCTTTACCTGGAGATGCTGAGTAAAGGCAGCCAGTCAGCCAGATGCTCCACTATTGAATCCACACTATCTAACGTGTAATCTCCATACCCCATAAGGGCTAGAAACTTGAGTGTAAAAAGGAGGTTCTCAGGAAGCTAAATTTTCAGACTGGTAACACAACTCTGCGGCTTTCCTGTGTTCCCAAATAACTGAAGCTTACCTACACAGAACTACTACGCCCATTTTCTAGATGGGCTAAACCAAGCATAGGCAAACTCGGCCCTCCATATGTTTAGGGACTACAAGTCCCATGATCCCTAGCTAACAGGACCAATGGTCAGGGATTATGGGAATTGTAGTCCCAAAACATATGGAGGGCCGAGTTTGGGCTAAACTGATGCCAACAGCAAGACATAACTTGAGGTCAAAGATATTCTGGGTTACAACCTGCACCATTTCTTGAGTCTCACCGTAGGCCGTTTCCACTTGACTCCATACGTCTTGGAGGAATTTGGCCCAAGCTCCTTGAAACCCAGGGAAGAAGCCGTGGCAGGGAAGGTGTCATCCCTGAAAAGGGCTCCACTCTGCAAGCACTCGTTGCGAAGCCTCTCGTAATCCTGGTTCAGGTACTTGATTGCATTCTCGTTTTTACCCAAGCCCAGGTCTTTGGCCCGCTGCTTCTGGACCTGAGCGGAGACCCCCGTGCAGTAGATAGGCACAATGACCTCTTCCGACATCTCGGGCAATTGGGTGAAGCCCTCCTGAAACAGATAAAGAGGGCATTAAAGACACAGAGCTTTGGCTCAGTGGTAGAGCATCTGCTTGGCATGTAGAAGGCTCAATCCTCAGCATCTCCAGGTAAGGCTGGGAGAAAGTCCCTGCCTGAAACTCTGGACAGTCGCTGCCAGTTCGTTTAGACAGTGCCAACCTAGCTAGACCAAAGGTCTGAATCAGTGTAAAGCATATTCCTAGGTTCCTAGACAGAAACGTGGATACTTCTCAGAGCAGTATGGAAAATTGCCTATGGAACAGGCCAGGCAAAACAAAATGGGAGTACAGAGCACTATCAGTATAGCCCCCCAACCTTTCAGATTTCCTCCTGCCCCTCCTGGCTCTTTAAGAATGCTAAGTCTCTAGTCCTCACAATTACTGAGAGTGAAAAGGGTAGGGCTGTCACACGTCCGGGATTTCCCAGACATTACCGGAATTTCAAAGGTGGAAGTGACGTCCGGGGGTGGGGTGGGGATTTCTGGAAGGCGGCGGTTTGTCCTGGATCTTCAGCACATAAACGGAGAAATAGTGTGTGTTTTTTGGTGTTTCCGTAAAAAAGAAAGCGCAACAACTTTCGGGTTTTCCTTTAGAAAGCGCAACAATTTTGGGGGGTGCCCTGGTTTTTACTTTTTGAAATATGGCAACCCTAGAAAAGGGAAGCTTTAGTATCATTATCACTATTTACTATATTTGTTAATTACTTTATATACACACAAAGTACACTAAAAGCCAAATTAAGAAAACAAGACACTGCACAATATGATTATGTTATTTGGATGGAAGGGGACATTCTTCCGGAATCCTTTGGATTGTAGCGCTGCCTGCGGAAATATCTTTCCTTTTAAAGAAAATGGTCCAAAATCGGCTGAAATTTGTTCTTTTTACTTCTACAAGCCCCACAGAAGGACTGCAACTCAGTGGCAGAGCACCTGCTTTGCCTGCAGAAGGTCCCGAGTTCAATTCTTGGCATCTCCAGTTTAAAAAAGGATCAGGGAGCAGGTGTTCAGGAAGACCATTTCCTGCTCAGCTGAGCAAACCAAACCCCTGAAGACCCTGAAGAGCTGCTGCCAGTTAGTGCAGACAATGTTGGGTTAGGTAGACAAATAGTCTGATCTTATCTAAGGCAGCTTCCTATGTCCCAAGTAAACCATGAGGGCTAGAATCTCACATCACACATTTAATAAACTCTTATGCTACTTTGAGCATCATGACATCATCTTCATCATATTTATACCCTGAAATACTAAAAACTTTGCTGCCTTCAGATGTCTTCTAAAAGTCAGATAGTTGTTTATTTCCTTGACTTCTGATGGGAGGGCATTCCACAGGGCAGGCGCCACTGCCGAGAAGGCCCTCTGCCTGGTTCCCTGTAACCTCACTTCGCGCAGTGAGGGAACCACCAGAAGGCCCTTGGCACTGGACCTCAGTGTCTGGGCTGAATGATGGGGTGTATTAATTCAGAGTATTATTATTATTATTATTATTATTATTATTATTATTATTCTCTCATCCACATCATCAGTGTCTTCCCCAAAGAGTGCTGGGAACTGTAGTTTGTTCACAGCATTAACCTCACAGGGCTCAAACTTCCAACTACTATTTCTAGGTTTGTCCATGACTGCTCACCTGGTATAAGAGTGCTTCAGGTGTATCAGGTGTGGATGTCACCTGACTTCCTTTTTTAGAGGAAGGGTTGTAGCTTAGTGGTAGAAGGAGCACAGGTCAAATCCCTAGCATAGCTGGGAAGACCCTTGTCCGAACCTTGGAGGGCTGTTGCCAGTCGGACACCCTTGCCTGCAGATGGAGCCTTTTTCTGCAAAAAGTTACAAGCTTTGCCGCTGAGTCACAGGCCTTCCTCCCAAGTTGCACTCGTCTGGAGCACAGCGGTTGCCGAAGGAATGCAAGGGGTGGGGGATGCAGAAGGCAGCAGTCTGGAGACCAATTTCCCCAAGACTCCCACCGTGCTTGCTTTTAAAGAAAAGCAAGTTTCAGCTTCCTAGCTCTTATGGCTGTGAAGACAAGCTTGAACACAAGAAGAGCTCTGCTGGATCAGGCCCAAGCCAAGCTAATCCTGCATCCTGCTGTCACAGCGGCCCAACAGATGCCTGCAGGAAGCCCCCAAGCATGATGCTCCAAGCAGAAGAACACTCTTCGCAGTTTCCAGCAACTAGCTTTCAGAAGCCTACTGCCTCCAGTGATGGAAGCAGGGCATCACCAACAGGATTAATAGACACTGATAGCCTTATCTTTCATGAATTGCAGAGTTGGAAGGGACCCTGAGGGCCATCTAAGTCCAACCCCCCGGCAATGCAAGCATCTCAACACATGGTCTCCCATCCAATTTGAAACCATACCAGACCCTGCTTAGCTTTGCAAACGTGCGAGCCAATCTATTGCTGCACCACCAATCCTCTTTTAAAGCCTTCCAAGTTGGTGGCCATCGCTGCCTCCTGGGGGAGCAAATTTCAACTGTGTGAAGTCTCCCCCCCTTTTTTTTGCCTGCCCTGATTCTTTCAATGCTCAGCTTCACCCATGAGTTCTAGTGTTAGAACTCCCAGTGCTTTTTTTCTAAAAAAATGTTTAGGGGTACTCTCATTTTGACTCAAGAAAACCACCATTTTATAGTTCAAATCAGGAAAAATAAATACAGTAAATGGTCGCTTGCCTCTTCTCTATGCTAAGAAGTCCCAAATGCTGCACACTTTCCTTGAAAGAGGCATGCTGGCAATGCCTCGTGTCATCTCAGAAGCCAGGGGTTAGGGAAGGAGGCTTTGAAATCATGCAAATGAACTGCAATTATACTAATCTGTTGCATTTGCATAATCTATGCGGGTTGTGGAATCCAGCTTCTCTAGGAGCAGAATTTGGGTTAGGTAGACATAGAGGTGTGCTTTTAAAAAAATATAAACAAACATGGAGTGCAGATAAGGAAAGAGGAGAAAATTGGTCCAGGTTGCATTTCAAGGCCAAGTGACTCAATTCACATGTTTCAAAAAAACAAACTCAAGCTGTCCTGTGAATTTTGCATTTATCTGAATTTTGCGACACAAAAGCTTGTTACAAACATGCATTTTGTGTATTGAAATGCACATATCAACGAAGATAACATAAACAATGCATAAATATTTGAAGAAACTCCTTTGCAAAAAATAAATAAATGTGTCTGTTAGGGAAGAGCGCTCTAAAATGCTGATGAATTTCCAAGAGGGTCTTTCGAATAATAATAATTGCAAACAGATATAGAAATGTGGAGAACTGTAAGGCTGTAAAAAACGAGAAACCGAAACTGAGGGATCCACTCACCCCTACAGACTGCCAACGCTTGCAAAATGCCATCTGTCCTACCCATGGCATTCCAGCTCCAAGCAGTCAGAAGCCCAAAATGGTATCAGCAACTGTATCAGAGCCTCTCTTTCTCTGTGTGTGTGTCTCTTTCTCTCTGCACAGCTACATCTGCTGAATAGCAAGACAGATCACCTTCCCTTGTGCCAGTTCTGCTGGCTGTTCATTTGTAGAGAGGAATGTCAGGGTTTATGTACATATCCTTGCCTGGAATGGGGACTCTCAGACCTGGAAGCCTCGGATCGTATCCAAAGTTAATCCCACTCAGAGGAGATCCATTGAAATTAGTGGACGTGACAAACTTAGGCCTTTAAAAAAAGTATTTAGTCCTTACTGTTAATACAGTAAGTAGACAGACAGACAAGGATGAAGTATCCCAAACTATTATTCTATTATTATTATTATTATTATTATTATTATTATTATTATTATTATTACTGCTATTTTTAAAAAAAATAAAACAACAACAACAATGCTGTAGAGGGCAGATGTCATTTAGGAATTTCCACCTCAGGAATGTAAATATTTTCGGCTGTGCCTGGAAGACAGGTTCTGGAGTTCAGCCCAGCTTTGGGGAAGGTTTAGCACACATTTGCAGAAAAAGGTGTGTGGGGTGAGGGATGAAAACAAAGTTTAAAGCGAATGCGATGATACATCTATTGCAAAAAGAACAGATATTTGGTGAATGCTGTTCCTCAGGAAAGGCCCCTCCAAAGAAATCCATTTTCTTCACTGACTTACTAATACTTTACGCCAGCAAAATTGTCTCTTCGGACTAGGGATAAATGAATCTCTCATTTCTTGTTTCTCAGTTTTCGAATCTCAAATTCAGTTCTCCATATTTCTCTAGTAATTTGGTTGTGCTTTTTAAAATTCTTACGGAAATTTGTCAGGGTTTCAGTGCCAATTTCTCCTAATAAACTGATGGCTGTATCTAGACTGACTGAAAAAATTGGGTTGTATCCAGCAAAGAGTAGATACAGTGAAATTTTATTTCACTGTATCTATTCTTTGTTGGATACAACCCAATTTTTTGTGTGCTGTTTTGACTAACATACACATTTTTTTTTGCTAGCAATTTTCTCAGTTTCACTAATATATGAATTCTTATGCACACTTTCCTCTAATAAGCGCATTTTTGTAAACACTGGTTGGTGGGAGAACTGCACTGCAAATTTCAGAGAAATGCACATTTTGAAGGATAACAATCTCTGGGTTCATGCATTGGTTCAACAAGTGTGAATTAGGTTGTTTCTTCTTAAAATTGAAACAAGATCCAATTCCCCCCCCCAATCCCTACTCTGGAGTCTAGCAAAATATCCTTCTTCCTCTGCTTTGCTGGTACAGTCGTACTTCAGAAGTTAAACAGAATCCGTAAAACGTTCGACTTCCAAAGCGCGGCTTCTCATCAGAAGCCCTGTCAGACGTTCAGCTTCCAAAAGAACGTTTGAAAACAGGAACACTCACTTCCAGTTTTCGATCATTCGGGAGCTGGAACATTCAACTCCCAAGGTACGACTGGAGCCGAGGTATGACTGTAATTCCAAATTCATAGATATGGGATTTTTAAAAGATTTTATTTCTTGCAATCTTGAATGCAGGGTATGTGTGAGTTGGGTAAAGCAGTGTGGAGGGCTGGCTTTCGCTA